TATGTCATAAAATCATAGGAGAGACTTTTTAAATAATATATATAAATTTTTGATATGAACATTTATAAACATTTTACAAAGCAAAGCATTAAATGCATAAGCTGCTTCACGTTACCGAGGCTTTTTTGTTTACATATTCTTAATAAATTATTTAAATTTTACGATGACTAAATATTATATTTATTTAAAATTATCACAACACATTCACACACACACACATTACTGATATATATTATATATATATATTTCTCATATATATATATATTTGGTTTTAAATAACAAGACTTTAACCATCAATTTTTTTTGATAACTCTATTCAAAGGAGAAACAATTTACGAAAACAAAAATAATATTGAATTTTAAAATTTTTTTTACACAATCACACGTATAATTATTTTTATATATATATATATATATATATATATATATATATATATATATATATATATATAAATTTTTTCAAGTTTTTAATATATTGAATATTAATTTTGCCATTTGGTTCAAAGGAGAAAGGAATTTACGATGATAAAATAATATTTATTCAAAATTATAACATATATATATATATATATATATATATATATATATATATATATATATATATATAAATTTTTCAATGTGTTTGTTTTTGTTATCATGACTAATGTAAAACCAAAATTTTGCCATACTCTGATCCAAAGAAAAAAAAAATTTATATATGACAAAAATAGTCTAACAATTTATTCATCATATAAAAATCTCCAGTAAATTTAAAAACAAATTGCCCATAAATTTTTTTTGGGAAATAATTTTCTATTATCACAGTAATGAAACATCTATGAAAAAATAAAAGTGATAAAGCAAAAGAATCCAATAATGAAATATTTATAGTTTAAAAAATAAAAACAAAAATCCCATCATCCCTATCCTTTAATTTGCGTAAATTATTGCTCTTAAAAAAAAAAAAACACTTAGATGAAGTCCTAAAGGATAGAATGCATCAAGAAACTTATTTCAACAATATTGTTCCTTATATATAAAATATATATATATAATTCCATTTTATTTAAATTTAAATATATATAATGTGTGTGTAAATATATATATATATATATATATATATATATATTTTGTGGTTTTTCAAATTTGATATATATACATATGTGTTTAATTTTTTGCAAGTAAATTCCTGAATTCCATTTTTCAAGACCTGTGCGCAGGCTTATTCAAATTATACATGAATTTATAAAATTCAAATTTCAAAAAAATTATTCTCAAAAATTCACAACTGCATATACACAATTAAAGACATATATTACAAATATACGCATTCTTTTTCCACAATATAAATATAATTTTATTCATAAATTATAACAACATTTTTCCCACTGATTAGCTTCTTTATACAGTTTTGGCACAAATACACTTTTTATAGCAGTCTAAACATTCTCAAAAAACGGTTAATTTTTTCCTACGCACACGCCTCAAATTTGATCACCCCATCTGGCTTGGTCTCTTTCCACACTTTTTCATATATCAGAATTTTCCGTGTTTTATTGATAAATATAAATTCGCATATATAAATATGTCAATTAAAAAACTCGAATTAATTTTTATTTTCTTTGCGATTAATCGAAATCTTTCGCTGCTTCAGTGACAGATTAACGCTTTTGATATCGATAAATATTCGAACTTTGAAAAAGCTAAAATTGCTATCTTCGTTCAATCGATATCATGTTTATTATATTATAGATAGGATTTAGAAAAAAAAAAATATGGAAAAATTATTTATAATATATACATAAAAATATATATCGGTGGTATATAATATTGAAAACATGTCACCCGAATTTAAATTTTGTGAAAAGTTTCTGGGCATATTGTTAAATTCAATTTTTCTTTCATTTACGTCTCGATTGATCGAGAAAAGAATTTCTTCATTTTCAGAAAAATAAATGTCTTTAAAGATCTAATAAGAAAATCTTTGAAAAACTTAAATTAACACAACTAGAACACATCGGTTAAAATTTTAATACAGTTATTTGGTAAAAGGAATAAATATTTTAACGAATTTTATTTTATATAAAAAAATAAAAAAAACCATTTACAAAAAACTTTAAATAAACTTTGGAATGATAAAAACTTGAAATAACAATTATCAAGAAAATTAATATCAAAGGTTATTTAAATATATATATATATATATATATATATATATATATATTTCATATATTAACATTCTGTGTGTGTAGCATGATTAAGCTCTTTGTTTCTTTTAATTGATAAAATATTTTTCCAGACTATTTATTTGCAAAATAAAAACTTAAAAAAATTATAAAAAACCTAAAAATATGTTATATTATAAATTATATAATAATTATTGATATTTAAATCCTGTATTTAAAATGGTTAAACGACGATAAATAACCATCCGCGTCCTGGGTAAAATCATATAAAAAACAATTAACAGCAAGGCCTCTGATCAGGATTATTAATATAAATATTATTCCGACTTTAATTCCTTTGTTCCCCAGGTCTACACTGCTGACTCTTTGGTAGCACCTTTCTCAGGGTCCCATTTGGGAAAATAGTTATAACTCAAACATGGTCAAAACACTATGAAAGTATAAAAAGATTTTAAATAATACTTTTTTTAAAAAAATATATTAAGCAATACATTTTGAAAAAGAAAAATATTATCAACAATAAAAAGTTGACAAAAAAAAATATTACCAGCAATGCATTTTCAAAAAAAAATAATTTAAATTAAGAAATTAAATTTTTTGAACAAAAATATACCATCAATAAAAATCTTGTCGGCATTAAATAACCCATTGATTGATTGATGCCGTAAACCAAACCAAACCAAACCAAAGAAAGAGAGACAAGTAAAAACAACGCACGACATAGCTAGCGAGCTTAGGCAGTTGGTTGACAGAATGTTGTCTGGGGGAGGTGGCAGAGGGAAGGAACTTGTTGAGATCTGTAAGGGATAGAAATATTTCTTGCGTATCATCAATGTTAAACCTAAAAAAAACAAAATTTTCAAAAGAAATAACCCAAAAAAGCAGGAGTTGTTTTTTAGCATTCCAAAGGGTTTTAAAGAAAGAGGTAACAATAAAAGGAGTGTCATTCAAAAAGGATAAAGACAAGGACTGGGATCAAGATCAAAGGCATCAGAAGATGTCGATTGACATTACATTGGAATATTTGAAAATTATAGGAAGAATTAAGGGATTTCTACTGACGGGAAGGGCGAAGTTCTCCATTGGAGAAAAGAAACATCTATATTTAACCGTTTTGACACTGAAAAGGTGGGGCCGATATGCCAAAAAAAATATTCAACGTTTAAATTTGCAGTCTGGGAACCATCTCGAAAGACGCTTTCAGTTAGTTGCCGTGAAATACATCAAAAAACTTTATCGTTCGCCGCATTTTACAATATCCGCAAAACATTTTTTCAAACTTCCCTTTTCTTTTTTCTTTTTTTTATGTGTCATGTCTTTTCAGGATGTAGACGATCATGGCTCTCCACTTTCCCCTATCTCTTGTAGCCATCAATAATTTTCGTTCCTCTGCCATCTCATTTTCTGTCATCCACTTGCAATTTCCATCAGGTATGTCATTCGTTGATTTCCCTTTTCCTTAAAATTCTTTTCTTTTTTTTTACCAAAGAAATCCTCCTTTTATCTGCAATACCATGCCCAGGTCTTGGAAAATTTGCTTACGATCCCTAAGTTTTTGAAAACTTTTCGCTGTTTAATTAATAAAATTTTTGGTTAGTTTTTTTCTGTATTTTCATAGATTATTAACATATATCTTCTTCTACTTTTATATGCAGTGTCCCTTCAGTATGTAGGCAATCATGGCTCTCCACACTCTCCTGAACCTTGTAACTCTTACTAAGTTTTGTCTTTTTGTTATTTTTCCCAGAGCCTGTTCTGCCGTCCACTTGCTTAAACCTGTTGAGTATGTCACGCGCTGTTTTCCCTTGTCTCTCTTTCCTTCTATTCGCCCTGTGAGTATCAGATTTTCCAGGCCCTCCTTCCTCGTTACGTGTACCAGAAACTTCAGCTGCCTCTTCCTGATGTTAAGTAGAAGCCTCATCCTTGTTTGCATCCTTATAAATCTCATTTTGCTTACACGGTCGGTCCATGCTATCCTCAGCATCCTTCTGTATAAATTTATATCTCCGTCGCTTTTTCTATACAAATATTTATAGCCTACGTGCTTTTTTTATATTGATATATATATATATATACAGGTTCGAATCCTGTCATCTCTCAATATTTTTTATGAAAATTTCTCGAACATTCAGACCGATAAATGTTATTTAATACTGTTTATTTTAAATATAGCATTTATATAATATTTCTATCTATAAAAATAATGTATAAACATAAAAATGTCTATATATATATTATTACATGCCGCCGTATGAAAATAAATTCTTTACCATCATATATATTACTCAAGTCTTGTATATAAATGGACTTCCTTATAATGATTACATATATATATATATATATATATATATATATATATATATATATATATATATATATGACAGAAAAATACAGAAAAAACAAAATTCTGAATATGCATTATTAATGTTAAAATAAAGTCGACGTCGGACGTTTCGGTCTATTTAAGACCATCTTCATGGACATTTTCATTTAAACATAATTAACATTATAACTTATAACAATTTAACACAAAAGACGATGGACATAAGAGCCCAACTAATTCAAACAGATAACTGAAATTTTATACAGATCAGCGTTCTGTTTAAATATGCACATTAATAATGCATATTCAGAATTTTGTTTTTCTGTATTTTTTTCTTTCATACTGTCGGATTTATATCCATATATTTGCTTACATATATATATATATATATATATATATATATATATATATATATATATATATATATATATATATATATTATAATTAACCTCATTTTTATTCAGTGCCTGGTGATTGAATTGTTCATCAAGTTTCTAACTTTAAAATTAATGTTAGAGAGAGAGAGAACAGGCATAAATAGATAGATAGATAGATAGATATATATAGATAGATAGATAGATAGATAGATAGATAATGCACAAACTTAGATATATAAAGGCTGAAAAGAATGAAAATTGATACATACATAGATGATATATTGTAAAACTTATATATATAAATAATGAATGAAATCAATAGATTTTACACAGATAGATAATGAACAAACGCAGCTAAATATATATATATATATATATATATATATATATATATATATATATATAATGAAAAGAAAGAGATAGATAGATTACATACATAATGAAAAGAATGAAATAGATAGATACATAAAAGCATATTTGAAGGGATAGATAGATAGATAGATAGATAGATAGGATAGATAGATAGAAATTCCAAGTAGGAATAAGTTAAGTGATCATTTATCGTTTTTTGTTGTTTTCCAACTCCAAATGACCCGATCAATTTATCGGTCCCTATCAAATTAGCTATCTAATACAGCCTGTTTACATCAGAGTAGGGAAAATACAGGAGATTATTTAATTTTATTAATGACCTGTCTATTGATATCGAGCATATAATTAATCGCCATCTTCTAGAAATACCCCGAGCGATATTTTTTTTTTCGTCTATTATTGTGTATATGTAAGTAAAGATGTATAGTAACGCTGTCAGAGAATTGTTTTATATGTGCGTAATATAGAGAGACATACATACATACATTTGAACAGGCTGAGATATGTACATACACACATATATCTGAACAGACTGAGATATAGATAGATAGATAGATAGATAGATAGATAGATAGATAGATATGACCAGACTGAGACAGGCAGACAGATATATTACACAGATAGATAGATAGATAGATAGATAGATAGATAGATAGATATGACCAGACTGAGACAGATATATTACACAGATAGATAGATAGATAGATAGATAGATAGATAGATAGATATTTTCATGTTTTTATTCCCTAACATTTTTGGAACATATATTTGTATTTAGATAGATAGATAGATAGATAGATATATAGATAGATAAATAGATAATAATAATATAAATTTTGATATATATATATATATATATATATATATATATATATATAAATATATATATAGAGAGAGAGAGAGAGAAAAAGAAAGAGGGAGAGAGAGAGATGGAGGGAGGAGAGAGAGAGACCTTTTTAAAATTATCTTTCTTTCCCAAACATTACTTGAACATAGATTTGCACATGTCTTGGAGATGAATAGAAAGAAAAAGCCCAAAAGCCCTGGTGTCATTTACCCAGAGAAAACAAGAAAACCAACACAAAAATTCTTGAACCTATTTTCAGAAACATATCCGCTTTATTAAGAAGCGAAGCACGATTAAAACACACAGTCGGTGAAATGCAAACGTTTGGCCGTCAAATGACATTTTGCTTCGCAGCAAAGAAAGGCACCCGTGTCGGTCGCTTGGAGGAAGTTTAATGTCAAATCAAATGAACTGCGTAAGTGAAGGTTTATATGGATCCTCAATACGAACGGGCAGGTTTTTTTTTTCTGGACGCTAGTAACTACTTCTGCTTAATTATCAGTACCTTCATGAGAACTAGTAAAGTAACATATATTTTTAGCAGGTTTTTTTTTTATTTTTTGTATGACAGACATTAATTTTGAAAATCTTGCAAAAATAAAAATAATTGTCGGATGTTAATGAAACTTTCAGAAACTATTCACAAATGATTGAAATTATTTTAAATATGTTTGTTTTGTTTTTTTTTTTATTAAAGTCATGCCAGAAATATTTTTTTTTATATTTATTTCCCCTCCCCTAATTTTATGAAAACTCTAGAAATTCAATCGCATTCAGTTTAGTGATTATATTAGTTAAAAAATTGGAAAATTTTCATGTTTTTTTTTAAAAAAACCCCCCCTGAAAATCAGCTCTGAATTGTAACATACAAAAACTCAATAAAACAAATATATTATTTAATTTCAAATGCTCTTAGTTGTTTTAGTTTTTTTATGATATGGACAATATTTTCTGAAAGCAAAAAATTTTTCGATGAAAAATGAATTTTAATACAATTATTTGTTATTTCTTTTATTTATTTTAGATTTTTTTTTTTTTTAAAATTGTTAAATATTATAAAATTAGTTAAAAACCACATCGGGTTTCCTAAGTTTCCTTATGAGATAGATCTTTTTTTAGCGCGTTGTAAATTGTATCATTTTGACTAATCAGAAGATCCGCAGTAATTAAGAAATGTAATTTTGTGTTTATAATCGGGCTGTAATTATAAAGTACGGAAGACCAACAAGATTACAACCAAGTTTCGTTATTTGAGTTAAGCATTGTTCCCCGCTCTTAAGGCCTTTATTTTTTATTCTTTTAGATGCAAAAAAAGTTAATTTGATTTTTTCAATTTCAACTGAAAAAGGGTAAACAAAAATCAGTATCATCTTATGAAATTTATATGATTTTATTTTTATATTAATCTCAGTTATGACATTTTTCCATAAATGAAATATCAAAATTAATAATAAAATGAATGGAAACACAAATAACATAGTAAAATGTAATAAATATACATAAAATTATACTATCTTATGTAAACTTCTGATAAAATTTCATAAGAAAGGTACCTATAAATTAATTAGATACTTTTCTTATGAAATTTAATAATCTTGTAAAATTGGGAAGAAAATGGGTGACATGATTGATTATCTGTCAATATTGCTGACTCAAAAAAAAAAAAAAAGATTTTTACCGAAAATTTTGGACATGCTAGGAAGGATTAAACGATGTGAAAAAATCCAAAATATTTTGATCTTTCCTCTTAATAATAACATAAACATTTAAACGATGAAATTTTTGTTTTTGTTTCAAGTTTGGCGTCTTTTTTAAAAACAATGCTATGCTCTTTTTAAAATGATATCTCAATTAAGTTACCTATCTATCTATCTATCTATCTATCTATCTATCTATCTATCTATCGAACTACTTTTTTTCTATAAATATCTATCTATATATCTATTAATGTAAAATCATTTATTGAATTTCTTTTTCTCTAATTCTCTATTGATCTATCTATCTATCTATCTATTTATCTATCTATCTATCTATCTATATAAATATTATATATATATAAATATATATAAATATATATATAAACATATATATATATATATATATATATATATATATATCTAAAATTTTATATATCTTGGTTATTTATCCTGCGTAAATCTATCTATCTATCTATCTATCTACTTCAATCTTGAAGTACATATATATATATATATATATTAAAAATATTTCTATCTATCTCTCAAAATCTATGTCAGTCTGCAGATATCTATCTATCTATCTATCTAAAACCATCTATCTAATCCCATCTATCTATCTATATAAAATCTATCTAATATCTCTTCATCTCTTATATATAAAATATCTATTTCAACTCAGTCTTTTTATATGTATCTATATATTTTTCACCTGAATTGCTTATCTATTTATCTATCTATCTATCTATCTATCTATCTATATATATATATATATATATATATATATATATATATATGGGATATAAATGATTAAACGCAGACGGTTTGAAAATAATACGACGTGTGTTTCAGTTTGTTTGCCCTTTCTGAACACAGATCAAAGACTTTTCGTTTATTGCCGAATTTTTATTTGACACTTCAGCTTTTAATTAAAATTCAGATGAAAATAAATTTCGAGGGATGGGTACAAAAGATACGACAATTCTATTATTTTTACATGTGTGCATATATATATATATATATATATATATATATATATATATATATATATATAATATATATATAATTCTATCCTTTTTAGATTTTCATTCATATAAAACAAAAACATATTTATAGATAGATAACAGCTACATTTATTAAAAAATTAATTAAACAAACTTAAAATAAAATTTTTGAGAGAAATCAACTATTGATGACTTTTTAAAATGTAAATTTCAGCCCCGGATCGTCTTCAAATATCTCCTTTTTCTAAACAAAAACGTTTTCCCAAGCCATCACGCTATTTAAATAATTTAAAAATTAAAAGAAAACTCTTAAATACAAAAAAGAAAACTTCTATTATTTAAAGCAAATCAATACGTAAATAAGTCATCCAATAAAATAAATTTAAATATTTAATTATTTCATTTAAAAAAATTAAATTCATGGAAAATAAATATAAAAAATAAAATAAATGTTAAAAATCCATAACAACATTTGCGTCCTGGGTATGACGATAAAAATTTCCGTGTCCTGATTTTAAACGATAAACTACGTCCAGCAGCAAGGCCTCTGATCAGGAGGTTTTTGAGGAGTCAAATTTACCACCTCTTAATTCTATTTTTTTATTTGAGTCCATCCTGACCCAGGGTGGTTTTGCACCTGTTATATATCCCAGCTATGGGCATATAGTTAACATGAGACTACATCTGCGCCTGGGTTGACGATAAAACTAAAATCGGCGTCCTACTTAAATCTATAAATAACTTAAAAGTTAAAAAAAATTTGATCACGAGCTTTTTGAGGAGAAAGGTACCATTTTTTTTCAAAAATGCTTGGGCAAATAGCTTTTCAAACAGATAACCTGAAAAAACACTATGAAAGTTTTTTTTAAAAAAAAGATTTTTTTACCAGAAATTTTGTTTTTTTTAAAAAAAAAAATTATATCAGCAATAAACATTTGAAAAAAGAAAATATTATTCAGAAATTTGAAAAATCTTGTCAGCATTAAATAACCTATTGAACAATATGCCACAAAAACAAAATCAAACCTTTATTAAAAAAAATATATTGTCAGCTATAGATTTTTTAAAAATTTATGTTTTTTGTTTTAATTGAAATGAGCCAAAGGTGATATGCCGTAAAACAAAACAAACCAACAACAATTATTCACTTTCGTTTATTACGCATTTTTTACATCACTTAACCTTCTATATAGTTTACCTTGACTTTCACAGTAGGTTTTAAAATATTTTTGAGCTTTCTTAAATTTTACATCTTTGAAAAGCTAACATATATTTTTACTTCTTTTTATAAATCCATGCTGTAATTTTATTTCCTTAAATTTGTTTTGAAAAATGAAAAACGGAAACGAAACGCGTTGGTTTCTTAAAAAACTTTTGTCTTTATTTATTTTATCTTTTACATTTATATATGTATTTCAATATACATACATACATATATTTTAAATATATATATATATATATATATATATATATATATATATATATATATATATATATATAGATAACTAGACTCGTTTCGAAAAACCCTCGAATTTTTGATTTGCTAATAATCAAATCAATCTCGAGGAAAAAAAATTTTTAAAAAAGAAAGAGCTACAAACATGAACTTTTTGCCGACAAAAAATCGCACAGATGCAGGTCTGAAGCCCAAAGAAAAAAAACCCGATACGAGTAACAACTAACTAACAAAAGAGCTCAATACAACCGTAGAGCAGACCTAGATACACCTAGTGAGCCAGACAAAAATCTGGCTTCACTTTTTTTATCTATATATATATATATATATATATATATATATATATATATATATATATATATATATAATGGACTTTACCGTCGATTTCCACGTATATAATCTGACATATTAATAATTGGTTCAAGCGAAATTTTTAGCGATAATCGGCACTTAAGATCTTTCTAGTGATTTATAAAGGAGGTTATATGGAGCAAAATTGAAATTGTGGGATGAGATCACTGTTATTTATTGGTTGCATTTTAGATATATAAGATTTATTTTATATGATTATATTTATTTTATAAAAATTTACGCTTTAAAATATAATAGTTCAAAAAATAAAGCAAATATTTTTATTTTAGGGCTCAATATTAATAAAATATTGTCGCCATATTTATTACAACGTTTTTTAATTTCTTCATGTGGTTCTCCAAGAGTTAACCGGGTATTGAACTTTTTACTGATTTTCACTTTGTCACTGGATTTAACCAACGCCTTTATCCACTGTGTCCTGTGTCCTTGGCAGTTTATAAAACTTGATAAAAGAATTATCAGGAGATAAATGATAAGCTGACATCTATCAAACATGGCACGTGAAACTAGAAATAGTCTACCCCAGTCTGGCGAAATAAAGGGTTCAATTCGAAATTCAACCACCTGAAGAAGGCCGGGCGTACAAAAGAAACGTTATAATAAATATGGAAACAAAGATGATTTTTAGTCCGAATAATTTAAATTAATTTATATAAATATATATATATATATATATATATATATATTCTATATATTTTATGAGAGAGAATCACTATAAATAACTTGAGATATTTATGCCAGTGTGTATTTTAAATTTCAATTGACCAGCCTAGAAAGACAATTCCTGTGGCTATGTACCAAGATCCTCGCTGTTGCACAATAGGCGGGCTTGTATGCATTCACGAGTAGGTCTTTTTGTGTCACCTACGACACAAACATAAAAATTGAATAAAACCAATTCGGAAGTGGTTACACACTCCTCAAAACCTACAATCTCCCAATCAGAGGCTTTACCGCCGGATGTAGTTTATCGTTATACCCAGGAATCAGCCTTATGCTAACTTCGAACGAGTTGACCTGGATAGAAATAACTGGAGATATTTGTACCAGAGTGGTATCAGGAATTTTAAAATCAATTATATTGACTGGCTAAGAGACAAAAGACAACGGCGAAAAGCGTCAGCAAATATTTCTGTTGCTATGTCCCGACATCCTCGCTGTTGCACAATAGGTGGACTTGTATGCAGGTCACTAGCGCGATTGAAGTGTCATCTATGACACAAATATAAAAAAAACGTCGGGAGAGTCCATTATAAACAGGTTGTTTCACAATTCTTGAAATAAAGCAGCAGCCTCTCTTCACTGTATCACAGCTCATCAGTGTGGCTAGACGCTCTCTAGGTAGGATCGAACCCCGGCTGAATTGGCGTCAGTCGGAGATTCTACTCCTAAGCCGTTGGCGCACGGAAGGGATGAAGGTGAATTTAAGCGTATTTATTTTTAGATAAAGACACAGTGACTGAAAGAAGTCGATTCACTTTACCGAAGAGTCTTGCATTATTAGCAGTAATAGTCATTGTTTACAAACTCACATTTCCTCCTCAGAGAGCTCAACTGAGCATATATGTCATTCCCAGACAGATTGTTTCGCTGGATCACAGCTCATTAGTGTGGTTAGACGTCTGGTTGTCTCTAGCTAGGATCGAAACCTGGCTGAATTGGCGTCAATCGGAGGTTCTACCCCTAAGCCGTTGGGGCACGGAAGGGATGAAGGGGAATTTAAGTGCATTTATTTTTAGATAAAGACACAGTGACTGAGAGAACTCGATTCGTTTTACCGAAGAGGGAGCCATTAAAACAGACATTGTTTATGGAAGAGAAATGAGAAAAAGGTTACAATTCTCGTAAAAAAAAAACAATTCGAAAAGAATGAGAGTAAAATTGATTACTTAAATACGGGAATTTAATGACTAAAATAAGAAAAAAGTTGTTAATGAAGATGAAATATATATTATTGATAATATAGCAAACAATGAGAATAACCAAATCATGTGCAAATCGTATTGAGACTCAGCAACCACTACATCATTTTACAGAGGGAAGGCAGCAAAGATTTAATATAATCTTCTACAAATTCCGTGTCCCTTTAGAGCGTAGGCGAGCAAGGCTCTCCATGATTTCCTGTCCATTGTACTCCTTAATATTTTTGTCGTTTTGTTAGCTGTACTAAAAATGGCATCGCAATATATTTATTCAATCTAGCTCCATAGGTCATACCTTTGCTTTTCTACGTCCAATCTGCCCAGTGAGTATTAAATTTTTTAAGCATTCTATCCTCATGTGTCCTTGAATTGTCCAATCTCTCTTCCGGCTGTTAATGCCTATTTTGCTTCCATTTTCTGTAAAAATTCGTCGTTGCGAACATGTTCAGACCATTGTATTCACATTATCCTTTAGTAGAATTGCATTTATGATCCTTCAAGTCTCTTCTTCATTTGTGAGGAGATTGTCCAGCATTCACTGCCATATAGGAGGACTGATATTACTTAACAGTTCAGTACTCTTTTCTTTGTTTCTCTTGCTTCAAGTCTCTTCTTTATCTGTGAGGAGATTCTCCAGCATTCACTGCCATATAGGAGGACTGATATTACATAACAGTTCAGTACTCTTTTCTTTGTTTCTGTTGCTTTAAGTCTCTTCTTGATCTGTGAGGAGATTCTCCAGCATTCACTGCCATATAGGAAGACTGATATTACAAAACAATTCAGTACTCTTTTCTTTGTTTCTGTTGCTTCAAGTCTCTTCTTGATCTGTGAGGAGATTCTCCAGCATTCACTGCCATATAGGAAGACTGATATTACAAAACAATTCAGTACTCTTTTCTTTGTTTCTGTTGCTTTAAGTCTCTT